TACCTTGGGCGGGCGCTTTTAGCTTAGACGGAGCGAAGTAGTTCATGACTGACATTTTTGTTCATTCTGTTCATTGCTCAGGGTCATGCCAGCCTCCTCGAGTTCCTCAGGTTGACGACTGGCACCGTAGTAGTGATTCGCTAGAACTTCTAGATAACAGTTCTAGTTCCATGCCATGAATTCAAGGAATTATGGTATGTTAGTTCTTAAAATAGTAGAATTCTCGACGCCCGCACGGTGGGGCCTAAATTGAAAAAGCCCTGAATATTAATTATTCATTATTAGGAATGGGTTAGAAGTAAGATTCGCAAAACTTCAGCCTTTAGCTTGCTCACGCTCAAGAGTACTTCCCTCCGAAAGTTTTTCCCTTTCCAAATTTTGGCCGCACCGTCCACCCGTGTACTGTATTGAAAGTATTGTTACTATCAATACCGCCAGTTGTTTTTACAGTTGACTGTCCTCTCTGTGTGATGTCCCCCAGTCCAGTGTATAGCTCGTTGGTGCTTGCGGATAAGGAGCAATCACCAGACTCTTTGGATAACTATTTCGGAGTCTACGACTTGCACAAGGCAAAGGACCCTCGCCTGGTGTCGGATAAGAGCCGGATACTCTCCAACGATACGAGGCCGACCAAGATCGAGAACGACTTTTTCGTTGGTAGTGCGCTTGTGATGCACAAGACAATTGACGAGACCATGCCATCGCCGTACGAGGCGTATTTGGCTCCGAAACAACGGTAATTATTTCGGGGGTACTTGTGTACTGTGCTTTATGTAATAATATATTTTTCCTTGTATGTTCATCTTCATATTCTGCAATTACTCAACGTCTACACTAGTATCGGATGAATATCGCATTGCTCGATATTGTTACCATAACAGGGGCTAACATGGGGAGTTGTTTGCGATCAAATATCAATTATTTTGAGCAGTCTTAGGATCGTTATTGCTTTGTTATTTTAGACGTTGGGAGTTCCGGTGGCAGGGTATGTTCAAACGTCCTGTACCCCCGAGCGTCCAGTTCGGCGCTGAAATCGACTTCGACCTACCAGAGTTTGGCTTGGCGACCAGAACCGCGGTACGTATCGTGCTTTCAGTCGCAACAGGTATAAGCAGTGCTAAGGGATACCCACTCGATTGTAATTACGATGGAGCTTCCACACCTGCTCCTGATAAGAGCGGAATACCACAGGACAAATTCCATTTTCTTTTCCCCGTTTACTGTGCGGATACTATTCTTTGTAACGAGCCTGATGATCCTAATCTTCCAAACATCTGCCAGAGGTCAGACCTCCTGGGTAAAGTGCCTCGTGACCATGTCATAGCCCCTGGCAAGATCTATACTTTCTGTTACTATTCAATGTACTGTGACTTTGCCACTTGGGATGTTCGGAAGGTTTTGGGGGCATCTGGTACAAGTCTGAGCCGGATTATCGGGCCGCAGCCTGTTCATATAGTGATGAAAGATATGGAGTCGAACGAGTACTACTTTGATATGCTAATTGGCAATAAGTGTCTATCACCCTGGTGGGAGTCGATCGTACAGTCTGGGAGCG